TTCGTGTCTGGATGCAAAGGCAACAAAATCGACACGAACCCTTTATGACCAGTATTTGCGAGGGGGAAAAAGTGTCAAGTTGCAGAAGCGTTCGTCTCGGCTGAGCTTCACGAGCTGGCGACTGGCTGATGTGGGCGCTGAACGCTAAGCAACTCTCTCTAAATCGGCTCGTCCTCAATGAGAGCTTGCCACGGGGCTCGCCGTGAGGCCGATGGGAGGGTGCTTAGTGCTCAGGCGTGGTAGCAGGGGTGGTGCTAGGGGTCGCGCCTGTCGCGGTGTCGGCGGGAGCAGGCACGTCCCAGGCCTTGGACAGAGCGCTGTATTGGGCCTCAGTCAGAGGGACGACGTTGCCCTGCTTGCTACCAACAGGGAAGCCATCTGTCGAGCTGGGTTGAGGGTGGGGTTGGGCAATGTCGTTGGTCTCAAAGGGTCTGTAGCCAGAGACAAAGCCGTCCACCCAGATGTGCCACCTGCTTTGGTCGATGTTGTCCTTGAAGAGCAGAGGTCCGCCGTTGTTGTTCTTAGGGTCCACAAAGCCGTCGGTGCCTCCAATGTCGATCCACTTGCCATTGACACCATCACGGCTGATCTGGCCGCGGACCTTGAGCGTGCCGTTGGTGTCGTCGCGGAAAAAGCGGGCAAACGACTTGCTGTCAGTGGTGCCGTTCAGAGCAGCGATGGCCATGTCAGTTGCAGCGCCGTCCTTGGGAGTGTAGTAAGGCTGAGCTTTGGAGAAGGTCTGGAAATCGGTGGTGTAGGCGCTCCAGATGAAGGTAGGGGGCTGATCCTTGTCATCTTGTTGGGCGGTCTTGAACACAGCGCTACCCCAGGTGACGAGGAAGGCGTTCTTGATGGGATCCCACACGGCCGAAGGTGCATTGACAAAGCCAGCTCTTTCATCGATGAGAGGAGGAGAGATACGAGCGGGCTTCCAGTCGGAAAGGCTTGCCCCATTGGATTCGAAGATGACGATGCCGCGGCTCTGATTTCTCTGGACCTTGCCATAGTCTCCATTGTACTGGCGGACGTTGACGTCCGTGCCGATGATCCAGCTTTGGGAGCGGTCAGGCTTCGAGATCAGGTATGGGTCTCGAATTGACTTGCTTCCGACTTCAGATCTGAGAATGGGCTGGCCCTCGTTGACGACGGTGTACTTGAGCGGGCTGTTGCCTACCGAAAGATGAGCACTGGGTCACACAACAGGGTCAAAGGTTGTTAGGCGATCGATCTGAAGGAGCCTGCGAAGGAATACTTCGTGCGACGCGGCACCTCGCATTTACTCACTAAACAGCTTCGGTCTCATCTTTGTAGGAGATGAACAGGTATCCGTTCAGGTGGTCTTCAACCTTGACACCCAGAGCCTTAGCTCTAGCGTTGGCTCGGTTGTGGTTGATGCTGACAGTACCGGTCGCAGCGATAGGCTTGCCGTTACTGTCAAATCCAGCGACACCGCCACCAGCGGCGAGACTACCAGAGGAAGCTGAAGCGGATGCTCCTTCGCCTTGAGGCAGCGGAGAGGCTTTGACGCAGCTGAAGAGCATGGCGACAGCCGCCAGGCCAGCCAGCATCGAGTGTTGACGCAAGCGCAGCATTCTGAATACGATTGATTTGTGCGTTCAGTTGTTGGACGAGGTAATATGTGTTGTGTCTCAGCGAGAGTATTAGTTGAGTAGGTTGTGCTAAGGATGTCTGAGATGTCGGACGAGTGAGGAGGGGTTGAAGACCAAGAAGAATGAACATGGCCTTTTTATGGACCGTGGCTCAAGCTCACTACTGCGCTACAGCAAGTGCAAAAGCTTCAAGGCACCGACTCCCGTACTCGAACACGGTCCAGCGGCGGTCCGCGCGTTCCAATCACCCTGATGCGACTGGTGTTGTGCCGTGACCAAGGGACCTCTGCGACGGGATTGTGTGGCCAGGCACTTTGCCAAGTAAGTGCTTCTTCTTGGCTGCGCAGACTGTGGTCAGTTGATCACTTGGAGAACAATACTGGATAATGATGGCCCGCTCATTGGTTGCCTGGCCCGCGGTGTTTTTGCGCCGCCGAGGTACCTGGTGCATCGAGTGGGCAGCGGAGACGGCGCAAGCCGCGCCCGCGCCCGCCATCGCCATCGCCATCGCCATCGTAACAGCGACCCTCTCTCGAGTTTCACCCACATCGCTAGACTCCCGCAAATCTGAGCCTGCAATGCTGCGCGTTTGCTCAGCATGCTGAAATGAGCGAGGTAGCCACTGGTGAGCCAATGAATGAGGCGTCCGGCTCTCTTGAGGCGTGCGTCTGCGCGATGAAGCCAATTCGCTTTCCGTTTGGCGTCCCTACACCACGAAGGAACCATTGTCGGAGTGACATTGCGGAATGCGGCCGATGGTGTGATTATGCGATGATTGATGCCTTCCGTCTCGTCGCCGGGAAACAGATTCGCCATAAGGGAGCGCTCGTAAGCAGCTGGGACCCACAACGCAGAGCTGAGCAGAGTTGTGCTTAGCGCAGACACCAGCGAATCTTGCACGTCTTAATCGCTATTATTCAGAGTAGATGAGCGACGGTCTCCGCGGCACCGCCACGCTCATCTACCCCATCCATAGATGCATCGTAGCCACTGGCCACTGGCCACTGCAACGGTCGCGGAAGCGGCGGAAGGAGCGTCTGAGATCGGTGTTGCCTGTTCAGGTCATGAGGACGAGCGCGCAATCAAGGAGGATCTTGATGTGCTCATTTGCGACCGTGCGGAAGCAGGTGCCGCGGTTTTGGTGCGACGCAATTGCATGCAAGGGAGCCGACATCCGACATGTTCATGATTGATTGACGAAGAAATTAATGTTCGGGCAGCGCAGCACGGATCAGCTCGAGACTAAACTGATGAATGACCGCCTTCCATTGGGCCGGGAGCCCTGATGGAATCAGAAGGCTTGTTCTGAGCAAGCGATGGAGCCGTGGTAGAAGTCGTCGATGCCACAACTACACGACGTCGCGGTAGAGCGGCAACAGGCAGACCTCCATGCATTCAGCTATGGCACGCCGTCGAAGATGTAGTGGAGAGGGCTTGAGGATCGCATTCAGCTGCGGGCTGTATCGCCTCGCTATGCCATCATCTCAATCTGCTGACGTTGTGTTGACGCTGTAGCATATGGCGCGAAGTTCAAGTAACGCCATGCAGTGATGGCTTGCGCCAAGAGCTGGGGTGTTTGCCATGACGTGCAACGACTTGGCGCCGCCATTCGAGTTGCACTGGCGCCGTGTCTTCTGCTTGCGGCCATGTGCCATCGCCCAACGTTTGCCCTTCACACCACTCTCGCGTGGAATCACTGCGGTTTCGAGAACGTGAAAGGATGCTTCGTGCTGGATACGATGTGGTGCGAGTCCCGCTCGTACCTCGATCGTCCTGATCCGCCCTTGCGCGCCTGCGGGCGGGAGTAACGCCGATCGCCGCAATCGTGAATGCGACTAGGTCGGACTGTGAGGCCTTGTGCGACTGAGCGGTGTGGTGTTTCGTGGTGGATGTTGGCGGGTGCACCAACATCGCAACGTGCGAAAAAGCTTCCCCGAGGCTGAGGGTCCCCCGGCAGGACGAGAAGGGTTGCGCTGTTTGCCCTAGTGGCCAGCCTGGGTGGGGTGAGCGCCATCTTGCCTCGACGTCGTCAGCTGGTTCGAAGCAAGCCAAAGGCAGGAATGTAGCG